TACTCAGCTAGCATGACTATATGAACCTACACTACTTTGATACTCAGCTAGCATGACTATATGAACCTACACTACTTCAATACTCAGCTAGCATGACTATATGAACCTACACTACTTCGATACTCTGCTAACGTGACTATATGAACCTACACAACTTCGATACTCAGCTAACGTAACTATGTGAACTTACACTATTTCAATACTCAGATAACATGACTATATGAACCTACACTACTTCGATACTCAGCTAACGTAACTATGTGAACTTACACTATTTCAATACTCGGATAACATGACTATATGAACCTATACTACTTCTATACTCTGCTAACGTGACTATATGAACCTACACTACTTCGATACTCTGCTAACGTGACTATATGAACCTACACTACTTCGATACTCAGCTAACGTAACTATGTGAACTTACACTATTTCAGTACTCGGATAACATGACTATATGAACCTACACTACTTCGATACTCAGCTAACGTAACTATGTGAACTTACACTATTTCAGTACTCGGATAACGTGACTATATGAACCTACACTACTTCGATACTCAGCTAACGTAACTATGTGAACTTACACTATTTCAGTACTCGAATAACATGACTATATGAACCTATACTACTTCTATACTCAATGAAGGTGACTATATGGTCTTGTACTAAACCAATACTTGATTAGATTATTGGAAATATTAATACTTTTAATTAAGGTTGTAAATCTTTTTTAAAAAAATAATATCGTTGCATGCACTACATATGAAACTTACATCTTTTTTTTCTTATACGCAGTATTCCTTTTTCTAATCAATTAATTGTGTTTGTTCATTTCAAGCACAAAGCTACAGAAATGAGTTATTCATGCTGTGTCCACTGCGGGGAACCGAACCTCAAATATTGGCGTTATAAGCCCTAAGCTTATCGCTGAGCGACCAGGAGAGGACTAATCAATCTAACATCACATACTTCCAGTGATATATTGAAGTATCCGTTTTTGCAACTGACTCTTATTTTTAATCATCATCTTGACATAACACATTTTTCATGATACCCACAATTTCTGTATCCACCCGCATGTTAATACGAAACAATAGGGTAAAACGGTACGAAAACGTAATTTAATTATATATCTTCCAAATTTTAATTTTTTTACACCATTCATAAGCACCTATTACGAAAATTAGGACCTAAGAGAACGCTCTTGTTAGACATTTTGCAGTAGGTAACACCATAAGTAATAAAATGTGAGATAAAAAAACTGAAAGAACGGAAATAATTGAAACATTGTTCATTTTTATTATTGTTGAATAAATGTATTTTTATGGAAAAACATAGTATTAACATAATCAAAATTTTGTTCATAGAATTGCGTCATACGTTAAAACGAACTTTTAACGCTTAATTTACTTTACATTAAGAAGGCACTTCACGTTTGTTTTAAGTACAAAGCTACAGAATGAGTTATCTATGTTATGTCCACCACGGGAGACCGAACCTCAAATTTCAGCGTTATAAGCCCTAAGTCTACCATTGAACCACCAAAGGACTATCTGCACATATTTGTCCCTAATTTTTTAACTGATAAATTAATAGAAAGACAGCCACTCAACACCACTCACAACCAACTCTTGTCTGACCTAATAGTGGTATTTGACCGCCACTCTTTCAGTGTACCAAAGCTTCCAAGTACGGTGTGCGTTTTTGCGACACTGGGACGTGAACCCTTAATCCTCAGATTCACAGACCTAGCAAATTAATCAATAGTCCTTACTATTACTTCATAAGGGCAGCCTGCAAGAATTAATTTGAAATAGCCTCAATTCTGTTTAGTTTCTGAATCCCAGTGCTTCTTGTTTTCAACTGATATTTGTACTTTACTCTCTTTTTAAAACGTTGCTATGAAACCTATTCTAATGTGTCAAGGTTTATAATATTGTTACGTCTCCGTTTGTTAATTAACTTTCCGTAACTTCGTTCCGACGAAACTTTAGCGACA